CTATATCTTGTGGAGTTCGCGTATAACAATAGTTGGCAAGCTAGTATAGGCATGGCCCCGTACGAAGCTTTATATGGTCGGAAGTGTAGAACACCGATCTGTTGGAATCAAGTGGGGGAACGAGCTATCGAAGGACCCGAACTTGTTCGGATTACTACTGAACAAGTCGAGATCGCAAAACAGAAAATGAAAGAGGCTCAATCTCGGCAGAAAAGTAACGTTGACAAGCATCGAAAGCATTTAGAGTTCCAAACGGGTGATCACGTCTTCCTAAAAGTTTCACCGTTACGAGGTATTCGTAGGTTTGGAATTAAAGGTAAACTTAGTCCGAGATATATTGGACCTTTTGAAATCCTTGAACGTGTTGGAGAGGTGGCATATCGCCTAGCGTTATCTCCTCAACTTTCACATATCCACAACGTTTTCCATATCTCGTCACTCCGCGGATATCATTATCACCTTCTCCATGTGATTGATTATTCGTTGGAAAAAGTTGAAAAAGATCTCTCTTATATTGAAGAACCAGAAGCAATAATTAATAGAGAAGAGAGACAAATGCGACGAAGGTCAATACCGTTTGTTAAAGTGTTATGGCAAAATCATTCTGAGCGAGAAACCACATGGGAAACGGAGGAATTCATGCGAAATGAGTACCCTTATCTATTCGAATCATGTAAATCCTCTAACCCTATCTAAATTTCGAGGACGAAATATTCTTTTTAGGAGGGGAGGATTATAATATCCATGTTTCGTTAACTCGTACAAATTGGGTTAAGTAAATTTTTGGTAGAATTATGCATAACATAGTTGTACCCTATGTTATACCAACTTGTACTTCAGACGAGTTTTGCGTCAAAAATGAGTTTATATCTAATTTGACGTAAAAGTTGAGAATATAAACTTGAAGGGTCAAAACCGTCAAATAGTTAAACTATATATATATATATATATATATATATATATAAATTAAATAAAAAAAAGAAAAAAAAATTATATATATACATGCATGTGTGAATGGGGTTTCACCGCCTCATTCTCAATCTCAGTTTCTGTTTTTTTTCTTTCTTTTCTCAATTTCTCTCTCTTTAGATTTTTCATCTTCTCTTCAAATTTTACGTCAAGTTAATAAGAGGATCGAAGTAACAATTATATATTCGGAATCCACTCTCCGAACCCTTCTTAAAGGTATAAGTTTCATTCATTTTTATTAAGGTGTTTATGTTAGGGTTATTTAGACCGGTTTATAAACTGTGTTTATATCTAAGTTTACGGATTGATTTTGTCAAAATCATGATATATTTGATGTTTAGAATGCTAGAACTGGTTATATTGATGTAGAAATAAAAAAAGGTATATTATAGTTTCAATATGGTTAAATTGTGGGTATATGTTTAACCGTACACCAATTGTTCGGTTAAATGTCGAAAGGAGTTAAAATGCATGACTATGCTTAGGTTAACGACCATTGGACTTGTTTTACTATTTAGTATGTTGAAGTACGTTTATAGTATGTAAATGTAGCGAATCATGAAAGTTGGATCATAAAAGTTAGTCGGAAATTACGGAATC